CCTGTAATCCCAGCTACTTGGGAGGCTGAAGCAGGAGAATTGCTTGAACCCGGGAGGCGGAGGTTGCAGTGAGACGAGAACGTGCCATTGCCCTGCAGCCTGGGCAAAAAGAGCGAAACTCTGTCTCAAAAAAAAAAAAAAAAGGCATTCTGTGGCCTAAATGGAGGCCTTTCCTGTCTTTCTGCTTTTCTCTCTAAAATTATAGAGTACCCACATCTAACAAATACCACCCAGCTTTAGACACTCCAAGAGAACTCAGACTAGCCGGCAGAAGAAACATTTGCATCTGCCCATTTTTCTCTCTTTTGGTATTTCTATGATGAAGGATGTTCCTACCACAAAGAAATGATACATTTGATGTGATGGATATGCTAATTACCCTGATTTAATCACTGCACACTTCGGTCTTTTTATGCCATTCACCCTCTGATGGCAAAGCCGCAGGCGTCAGGCTGTTGTTCTATTTGGTTCCCTACTTCTGCGTGGATGCAGCAGGGCCCTCATGGCCAGTCCCAGCATCTGGCCATTCGTGTATGGGGTTGGCTAACACTGGGGGATGTGAATGATGTACTTCCGTGTAAAACAGTCTAAGTGCCAAACTCAGGAGGCTTCCTTTTTAGTGCAGGGGCTGAGGCTAACTGGGAAAACATACAGAATACGAAAGCCGGGATACAGGTTTACACCGAGCTCTGGCTGTCTTGACGAATTCAGAGGAGTGGGAGAGTGAGAAGCCAGATTATCCCGGGAAGTCTGGACAGAGGAAGTGGGGACTTGAGTGGGGCTGACAAGGGGAGTTTGGCCAGAGAGTGAGGAGGAGGAAGGTGAGGAAGACAATGGAAGAGTACCATTAAAATGTCCATGCTACCCAAAGTCATCTATAGATTCAGTAACATTCCTACCAAAATTCCAATGATATTCTTTACAGAAATAGGGGAAAAAAAAACAAAAACAGTTGTAAAATGTGCATGGAAGGAACCACAAAGGACTCGGAATAGCCAAGGCAGTTTGAGTTAAAAACAAAACACAACAAAAAACAAACCAACAGACACAACAGGGCTGCGCATGGTGGCTCACACCTATAATCCCAGCACTTTGGGAGGCCGA